AGAGGACCAAATGTGCAGTGATGAATCATGCTCTAAAAATGATACTTAAGATGTATGTTTATTTTTATTCTTGGATGCTAAAAAAGTAGCTTTGCATGATTCATAGTTCAGATCATTACTTATTTACCAAATATTTACCATATATGTGGCCTTGTTGCCACATCTCAGTTCATATTCTGTGTAAAACAAACTCTTTTAGGTCCCTTCCTCCCTCCTTTAAGCCATTTTTGTTCTGATTGGCTGCCCTTCACATGAAAACAGCAGTTTGAACAGGTCTCATGTGTTCACAGCCAAAGCGCCAGCCACTAGAGCTCTGTAGGATATCATACAGAGCTAACATTGGAAAAAAATATTGCATCATAGAGATTTCAGTCTTCATACAGGTTTAATATGAGCATCCACAATGTTTTCGATGAAAGACAGCAGGAAAAAACCCAATAAAGTCCAGTAAAGCTGATAAACTCACTTGTGTTTTGTGGTGTTGTTTCTAAATGTGCATACTGCATTCACCTAGATTATGTTTATGTATGATGATTTTGATTTTCTTACCCAAAGATGACGGTGAAGAAGACCTTGTCAGAATTTCGGCGTACTCACCACGATAACTGGCAGGAGCATCGACAGTGCTTCACTGACGATCAGCTGCTCGTGCTCACAGACCTGCTGGTGTCACCCTGTTATTACGCCTAGACAGAAATTTCCTGCCTTCCCAGGTCTTCGTAAGCCATGTAGGACCACTACCAGAGAAATTAATTACACAACGGCTGGGAACTCCAGTCTTGTGCAGCCTGTAAAATAATATCTGATAATACTAGCAGGGCGCTCTCCCGCTGGAACCTCACTTGCCACCGTTGGCCTTCACTAAACCCAGCAAGTAAGCAATCCTGGGCAAAATGGTTTCAAATTTTTAACTAGCATGGTATTTTTAGTCAAAGGTGGCCACTTTAGAGGGAAAGGTTTGGTTTATATTGAAAAAGTCTTTTTATTGCTAATCATCATTGTTCCGGTATGTACTTTTAAAAGAGTTCTAACTTGTGCACGTTATTAAATACAAGGAAGACATTCCTTCATGATAATGTTCATGTGTGAAATTATAAATATATATAAATGTATGCAATATAGGCAGCACGGTGGCACGGTGGTTAGCACTGTTGCCGCACAGCAAGAAGGTGTTCCTGAGTTCAATTCCACCATCAGGCCGGGGTCTTTCTGTGTGGAGTTTGCATGTTCTCCCCGTGTTTGCGTGGGTTCTCTCCGGGTACTCCGGCTTCCTCCCACCGTCCAAAGACATGCAGCTTGTGGGGATAGGTTAATTGGATAATCCAAATTGCCACTAGGTGTGAATGTGCGAATGAATTTGAGTGTGAATGGTTGTCTGTCCTTGTGTGTTAGCCCTGCGACAGACTGGGCTAACACACTGGGATAGGCTCCAGTGCCCCCCGCGACCCTGAAAAGGATAAGCGAATGGATGGATGTATGCAATATATTTGTGAAATTGTAATCTAAAAATTATCGTTGTTGTATTTCTACAGCTATATTGTATCCAACACTTATAAAGCTATTTAAAAGCACTCATGATATATAATACCTCATATTGACATTAATTATATCATTTATATAAATAAAAAGAAGAAATAAAAATTGTATATATCATATTAGATCATAAAAATCTGTGACCTGCAGTAACAATGGTGTCATATTTCTATAGGCCACATTTTGTCATGTTCTGCATTAGTTCTGCACTGAGAATTTACCGTGTCCTGTGAAATAAATGCATTATTTGTAAAGTGTGGTGCTTCTTTTTGAGTGTTGCATGTTTGCAGGGTTGGCTGACTGTATAAAGCACCAGCTGTTTATCTCTGTACAGCCATGTCACATAGCAGTACACTTCATTCTGTGCAGAGCTCAAATATAAAAGCTTCTTCTTGCGAGGATAGTTTTGTGCCACTGCGCCCTGTTACTAGAGCCTGTGCACATTAGCACCAGCGTAGCTAGACCCCCTTTACTGCTGCAGCCTAGTAAAATCTCAGGTCTGAGTTTTAACAAGTTCCTGTATGTCGCACAGGAGTCATTTAGATTTAGATTAAGACATGAAAAGAGCAGGGTTTTTGTTTTTTTGTTTTTTTGAATGCACAATGTCAAAAAGCTTTTAGTGCTAAAACTTGAAATATATTCTACAGTTGAATGCGCGAAAGACTTAAGTGTCTAAACTTTGTGTTTGACTTATTTTCATAGATTATATATTAATAATTATCCATCTGTTTTCTTAACCCCTCATCTATGTCAGGGTTGTGAGGGACTAGAGCCTATTCTAGCTTTAAATTGGGTGAGAAGGAGGGTAAACAGTGGACAGATCACCAGTCCATCAGGATATATTTACTCACTGGCTACTTCATTAGGTTCGCTTGTTCAATAGCTTATTAACATAAATATCTAATCAGCCAGTCACATGGCAGCAACTGAGTTTAGCATGCAGACATGGTCAAGAAGGACTGCTGAATCTCAAACTAAGAACCAGCATGGGGGGAAATGGTTATTTTAGTGACTCTGAACATAGTTGTATGTCTTAGTATTTCAGAAACTGCTGATCTACTGGGAATCCCTACACAGCCATCTGTAGGGTTTACAGAGACAGGTACAAAAACAAAATATCCAGTGAGCAGCAGATCTCTCAGTGAAAATGCTTTGTTGATGCTAGAGGTCAGAGGAGACAGCTTTGAGCTGGTAGGAAGACATAGTAACTCAAATAACAACTCAGTACAACCACAGTAAGGAGGAGAGCATCTCTGAACACACAACACGTCGGACCTTGAAGTCCATAGGTTACAGGACCAGAAGACCACACCAGGTGCCACTCCTGTCATCTAAGAAGAGGAAATTGAGGCCACAATTTGCATGGGCTCTCCAAAATTGGACAGCAGAAGTTTGGAAATATTGCCTGATCTGATGAGTCTTTTTCTGCTTTTTTGGATAGTAGGGTCTAATGTAAACTACATGAAAGCTTGGATCTATTCTGCCTTATATCAGGGGTTCAGGTGGTGGTGCAATGGTTTGAGGGATATTTTCATGGCACACTTTGGGCCCCTTAGTGCCAACTGAGCATTGTTTGAAACCTGCAGCCTACCTCAGTATTGCTTCTGATGATACTCATTTTTTTATGTCCACAGTACGCTAAAGACTGTAACATTATGACTGTAAAGTAAGCAAAGGTAGGTTGATGTAGCAGAAGAAATAGCCACTTGTGTCCCACTGGGTGTGTGTGTGTGTGTTAAAGATGGAATCACAGTTCGAGCTGTCACTCTTTTATTCTGCTTGTTGATGTTTTTCTGATGCAGTCGTGTTGAATTTGATGTGTTTACTGTGCTGAGACGGAGGCAGGCAGAATGAGAAGCAGCCGATGCCGGCTCCCCTGTGCTAGAACTACTAATCTTGACACAGAGTAAGTAAAGGTTAGACTAAACAATGTGTGTTTGCTTAAAGTGATTTTCATGACAACTACTTCATCATAGCAGGAAGAGAGATAGGCTGTATTTAGAAAAGCTGCATTACCAGATTGGACAATTTTTTTTAGCTGTATTTATTACAGCGTTTCAACCGATTTGTCAAGTTTTAGATTTATTTTATTAAAGTTACTAAAAAAAACAAGGAAAAATAACTGGGGCGTCATCATATTTTAATTGCAATAAGGTTTTATTTTTTAATAAACGGTTCAGTAGAATACTTCAGGAACACATTAGACTAACCATAGCAAGACAGAAAAGAAAAGCCTACACTGACAATGAAAGGCTGTCATTTGTCACAGCAGTGCATTGAGCTGAACACTAACATTAACATGCTCACGGTGACAGTACTAACGGTGCTGATGTTTCTAAAGTTCTAACGTGAAATGTTTACAGTGTTTACCATGCTAACAAAGGTTAATTAGCACTTAATTTGCAGCTGCATCTGTCATTGTTTTTGTGTCTGATTATGAAACCAACTTAGAGCTAGAGTGTGCAAAAAACATGTGCCAACCCTAATTTCTTTACATTTTACTTCCAAGGAGCCAGATTTTCTTCAAATTCTTTAAAGTGAGCTTGAGCAGTAGTTCTCTAAAGGCCTTGTTCTTTGGACATGGGCTGCTCTTTCACTCACTTTAAGTCCAGTCCTTGTACCTGACCATTTTTAGAGGAATAAAAGAGCACCAGCAAGGTGATTTCCAAAGCGCTATTAGCTGAAAACTTGACATAGCTTGTCATGAATGTGCAGTGTGTCCTATCATTTGAGGGAAACTGGACAACTTGAGGAGAAAAGACAAAATATCTACAGCAGATAAACAGTATCTGAAAGTCATGTCTTAAGATATAGGAAAAAAATCTGATATATTCTCATATCCATCATGCAGTAATAGCTTCATTTTAATGATCTCACACTGCTAGACTGGCCTCTAGCAGTGTGAGATCAGCTTGACATAGAATAAAACAAAAGGCAGCCAACATCCAGAGAAGAGCTTTAAATGTCCTTCAACAAGCCCAGAGAACTATTCCTGAAGAATGCTTAAAGAAATGACGAGCTTGCCTAAGAGTTCAGTCATGTTGAATATTGACTTTCAAGCTTTATAGAATTATACTCTGCTTTTACATCCCATAGTATATTTCCATATTTCAATAAATCGATGTACCCATTTCCCCATTTTCTTAACAAAATATAAAGAAATGAGGGTTGGCTCAAGACTTTTAGCTCTATATTTAATAAACGTTAAACCAGACATGAAGCAGCTCAGGTTTGAGTGTTAAATGTTTAATAACTAATATGCAATAACATTAGCAATTCTTTGTCTCAACTTGGCTAGTCAATGCCAGATATTAAATACCTATATTTAAACCATATATATTGAAACTGTTCTGTAGGGATTTATATTGAAACTTAACTTGCGATCTGTACATTTTTGGTAATTTATGTTTTCTATACCAGTTTATGTTGAAGCAGCTTTCAGTGGATATTTATTTGCACTGAAATCCTGAACAAAATAACATTATTTAGTCAACTAATGAGGTCAACATGTCCCATCCTACATGTAACAAACATCTTTATTGGACAAGCTTACCTTAAACCCTGAGATCATGTGACGAACCCAGCCCAATATAGACATTTTTTAAAAATCAACTGCTGTTACTGAATTTTTCTGTCCATTTTCTAACCTCTCTCTTACTAAAGTTTCAAGAGAAAACAGATGTGTGTCTGAGTCCTCAGGCAGAAAAGTCCTCACGGCGTCAGCCAGCTGAAACAGGTACTCTGTATTTTTCCCGCTTGGACCGGTAGAGTTGATGATCTGATTGGCGATCTCCTCCAGGGGTGCGGGGCCGAGGTAGTTGGGATTGTCCTTGGAGCCGATGTAGATCAGCGTCTGGCTTGGCGAGCAAGTGAGTGATGGACGGGGGTGAAAGGTCACCGTGACGACCTGATAACCACCTTTTTCTCGGTAGTCGAGGTAGCGCTTCACTTCTTCCTCCCGGCCAGTCGGCAGTTTGTAGGCAACACCCCAAACACACCCCTGAGGAAAGCAAAATGGCTTAGAGGTCCATAACCTGATGACATTTTCTTAGGTACACCTGTTCAACTGCTTCTTCACACAAATCTAATTGGTGGCAGCATCTCAGTGCATTTAAGAATGTAGACATGGTAGACAAGAATACCTACTGAATTTCAAACTTACTGGTCTGAGTATTTCAGAAACTGCTGATCTACTGGGATTTTCTCACACAACGACCTCTAGGGTTTATAGACAATAGTTCAAAACAGAGAAAATATGTCAGTGTGGACCAAAATGTTAGAGGAATGTTTCCAGAGCCCTTTTGAATGTATGCCTTGAAGAATTAAGGCAGTGCAAAAAGGGTTCCAACCACTACCAATGCCCATGTCCTTAATAAAGTGTCCGGTAAATGTATTAGTATTTACATTTGATAAATGATGATATATAATCACCTTGCCTAAAGTCACAATAAAAGTCAAAATAAAAATAACTGACATAACCAATGTTATGTTCAAAAACACTAACCATACTCACACCCAGAAAATTATTATAATCAATTACTCTCTTGCTTCTACGCTGTGAGTATTTCTTATTGTATTTTATGTTTGCAAACATCCAAGGACTTTACCTTGGACTTCAAGAAACTATAATTGATAGTTTTCAGCATTTATTTCAAACTTATCACACTTATCAGTCAATTCTAAAAACGGATTCCTGCCATGCTTTACTACATCACAACTCATACTACAGTACTGTGCAAAATCCTCAAGCCACTCCTCATTTTTAGACATTTTGCTTTTAAGAAGTCAGACTTTCAAGTTCTTTTTTAAAGACATCTTGAGCAACAGTTCTTCAGGCTTTCTGAAGTCTTTCAAACTTTTTCCTTCTAGACATTGGCTGCTTTTTCACTCATTTTCATTCCAGTCGTTGATCATTTTCAGAGATTTTGTTGTTTTATTTTATTTGTTTGGTTGTCGCACCGAAACTGGATTGTTCAAATTGCCTTTAGTAAGTACAGACATGGTCAGGAGAGAGGTACAACATTGAGTATCTGTTGGCATCTGTGAAACACGGCTTAGTTGTGGTTTGGGGCTGCATTTCAGCCAGTGGTACTGGGTATCTTATCAAAATTATGTAATAATAAGCATTGAAAAGTACAGTCAGACTTTGATCCAACATAAAAACACTATCTGGGAAGCATTTGGCAACAGACTGCCACTGGAACACTATTAGACATGGATTGGCCTCCCCAGAGCCTAGACCTCAAGATTATTAAAGCAGAGTGGGATCACCTTGACAGAGAACAGAACAAAAGGCAGCCAACATCCAAAAAAAGACTTCTGAAACATCTTTAGACATCTGGAGAACTATTCCAGAAGTCTCTTTCCCATTTTCCTAGCAACATAAAAAAATGAGGGGTCACTCAAGACTTTTGTACAGTACTGTCTATAAGAGGTTACCTTCTTTCCTGCGCCGTTTTCACTCCTGTCTGCCTTGTAAAAGCACGAAACTCTGCAAAACTGTTTATAATTAAAGTATAGCACTTTCTATGTATGTAAGTGAACACAAAAAGTTCTCTCCGAAGTGGAATCCAATTTGTGCAGCTTTGTACACTGATCGCCTTCACACTCCAACTCTTGTCTTAATTATAGCCAATAAAACAAGAATACATAACAAGGTAGGTGGATTATGACCTTCAGGTAGTAATAATCTCTCATTACTGTGTAAATAACATGTAATTTTGTTTGCTTCCTGCAATGCAAACATCAAAGTGATGACAATAAAGGCATACGTCTTGTACCTATTATGTAATGAAGTTACCAGTCAATGAAGGAAAGAACAAACAAATGGGGGCTATTTTGAGTATGTAGTCCGTATTTATGGAAAAACATCAAGAATATGACCAATATAATTTCTTCTTTTCTATTATCGTTTCTTTCGTTTCCATTAATTTTTGATAATGAATGGTTCTGCTCATCTGTCAAGCTATTAATTGAATTTGTGGTTGGAATCACAAATTATTTATTTCTGACATCATAAAGACTTTTTAATACTGACTGATTAATAAAGGAATACGTCATGGGCACACTACAAAGAAATTGTTATTGCACCCTGATGTTAAGAAAGGGGGTATAACTCACCTCAGGATTCTCCACGAGTGTCACAACCCGGCCAGGCTGCAAAGAACACACAAACACACATAATAAATGGCTTTGTCATTAAATTGCAAGTTGGTTAGCACACATATTGCAGGAAATGGGATCTTTCTGAAAGGTTACAGGCACGGTGGGGGAAATAATTATTTGATCCCCTGTTGAATTTGTAATGTTGCTCACTTACAGAGAAATTGGTTAAATTTTCATTAATTGGTTTTTATGGTAGTTTCATTTTAATGGAGAGAGACAGAATATCAACCAAAAGTCCAGGAAAAAAGCATATTACATAAACACTATAAATTGATTTGCATGTCACTGAGTTAAATAAGTATTTGATCTCCTATAATCTAGCCAGAATTCTGTGTTCATGTGGTACACAGATTACAATCAATCGATTACAGATGCGCTTGATTTCAAGTTATATTTCTAAAGCATGCTTGTCCATAAAATTGGGTTTTTCCATCCCAATCGCTCTACCTCCATAGGTAAGACCTAAGAGCTGGATAAGAATGTAAACTGTAAACAGTAGGTTTGGTGAGAAGGTGACAACTTTTGGTGGCATTATTTGGAAATGAAGGAAATAAAAAGATTATCAATTACCCCATAGAAAATCTGTGGGAGGAACTGAAGTTTCAAGTTGCCAAGTACTAAGGCATGTTTTGCTTGAAATACTTCTTTCAATCAATGACATGCAAATGAATTTATAGCTTTTACTTCTGAATTTCTGGTTGATATTCTGCATCTCACCGTAAACAGTTCGAGACCGTTTATTCCGTTCTGTGTGATCAAAATTACAAATTCAGCAGGAAAACAAACAATTCTTTCCTCCACTGTATAATATCACCTGTACACTTTATAATGCAGTGGTTGCCAGACTGTGAGGTGGACACGTATTGATTGGCAGTGCTTGGCAGACCAGGAGAAGTAGATAAAATTAGAATTACATTAGAAAATGAATACATTTTCTAAAGCTGGGCAAACAAAGAAAAGTTGTGGTTTTAATCCGATATAAGATTACAGGAGTCTATAAATCACCATATTAGGGGGAATATTGCTAACATGGATTTAAATATTAAAGGGAAACATCTAGCCCATTTATAAGGAATAAAGGTTAGGACATAAAGGCGTTAACTTTGTAATAATATAAGCCGAAGTGAAGTGTCTTCAGTAGTGTCTGCCGTGCACTAAAACACACTGTAGCAACATTGCATCAGGTAGTACTTTTTTCATTCTGGCCGCTATGAATCAGTTCCCAAAGCCAGCAAGGTATACTCACCTTACCCGGTACTCCTCGATGGTCGGTACTGCCTTGCCAAAACCGGCGACTGAAGCCTTTTATGTACCCAATTCTCTTTTCCTCGTAAGGAAAATCTACTTTCCATATCAGTGAGCCGTAACCGAACACCCACATGATGAGAGGTTAGGCTAACAGAAAAGGACGGGTGAGCTGGACGAAATAGTCACCTGTAATCGCGACGCCTACGACTTATAACAAGAGCTACAGCATTATAAAAGCTGACGTGTTCACCTGTATGAGTAAAGGTGATATCTAAAAACAGGAAAACGTGCTTGAAGCACCGGTTCCGTGTTCAGCGGACAAACTGTCAAGTAATACGGATTACGTAAGTTCCTTCACTTCCACTAAATACCTTTCAGTTTAAATGACAATTCTGGAGAATCTGCAAATTTTTGGCCAAGAAAGCTAAATTATGACTTTTCGGTTGTTGAATCAAATGATACCCATTCTTTTCGCACCGTGTTGCGCTTACAGCATATGCTGTATCACTTTCTTGCAAATGCTTTCGGGCCACCTGCTTTTAATTTGAAGGTGAAGCCACAATTCCGGATGTTTGTAGCTATTTCTGTGCTGGTTTTAGTTAGGCCAAACGGTACAGATAAGCAAGAAACGCTGTCATCGTGATGTATGTCTAAATAGCAAGAGATTATAATTTTGTAATAAGTAGTTTGAATGTGTCCATGACTTCCTTGTTACCGTTCAGTACAGTGGGATAAATTTAGTTTAGGTTCACATCAATTTATTTCAACAAACTTTATTTTTTTAACTATTAAATAAAACAAACAAGACAGAAATATTATTAGATTAGTCTACTATTGTGTGATATTAATCGTGGACGTTAACGATTAATGGATGTGTTAATGTGACCGTTTCTTGTCAAAAAAAAGTCACAATTAACTCTTAATAACATACAAAACTTTTGTTTCCTTCTTTATTTTTATTTTTTTTAAATCTCGTCTTTTCTCGAATGTTGGGTTCACCTATTACCCGATGTACCCTAAACCCCTAGAAGATTATTTTATTTTAGGCTATGGCTCTCATGATTTCTTTTCAGCTCATTTCTTCTTTTGTGTGGCCTTTTTTCAAACATGAGCTGGGACAGATAACACAGGGCTTTCATCCTGACACCAGGGGGTGCTGAGTTTCTATTTCCCACAGTGTGTCATGGCACGCTTCTTTCATGTATGCCGTGAGAGCACTGATTCAGAACCAAATTAAGTGGACAGCAGCAATATGGTCTCTAATGTCATGCTCATTCCCCTGCCTCTGAGAACAGCTAGTCAGCAAATCTTTTATCTGAGACTCCAGTTTGGAGATGCAGCTCAATAGCTGAAATCCCCAGCTGTGGTAGCTGAGGAAATATCCACCATTTAGATACCCTTATTCAAGAAACCAAAGCCAAACTTGGGGTAGCTGAGCTGATCGCTGAGTGACAGAAGATCAGAAGTCAGCTCTAAACTGGAAAAAAAAATGGAAACAGTAACTGTGTTGGTCATAAAACCTGCTGCCATCTACTCAAAAACATATTCTTTTTGCTTTTTAGCCCCCCGCATGTTATCTTTTACTTTTATAATTAAAGTATGTTGTTTTGTAAATGCACCATGTGAATTGAGGTATTTACACTCATCTGCGATTTAAGCACTCCTTGGAAGTATTGAATGGACTCCTCTTTGACTTCAAAAATGCCTCTAATTCTTTGTGGCACAGATTCAGCAAGGTGCTGGAAATATCTCTCAGTGAGTCCATAATGACATGATAGCTTCACACAGCTGCTGCAGATTTGTTAGCTCATATCCCCGACATGGTCAAGAAATCAGTTTGAGATGACTGGACTGGATTGTCACATGGTGTGTTATCAAGATGGAAGCGGCTATCGGACGATGGGTACATTGTGATTATAAAGAGATGGGTATAGTTAGCAACAATACTTAGGCAGGCTGTAGGGTTTAAACAATGCTTGATTGGTACTAAGGGGTCCAAATTTTGTCAAGAAAATATCCTCCACACCGTTACACCACCGGATTGATCTATGCTTTCATGTTACTTACAGAAAGTTCAGACCATACTATCCAAATGTTGCAGAGAAATGGAGATTCATCACAACAGCAAACATATATTTGGGGCGATTGTGGCTCAAGAGTTGGGAGTTCGCCTTGTAATCAGAAGGTTGCCGGTTCGAACCCCGGCTTGGACAGTCTTGTGTCCTTGGGCAAGACCCTTCACCTGTTGCCTACAGGTGGTGGTCAGGGGGCCTGGTGGCGCCAGTGTCCGGCAGCCTCGCCTCTGTCAGTGTGCCCAGGGTGGCTGTGGCTACAATGTAGCTTGCCATCACCAGTGTGTGAATGGGTGGATGACTGGTTGCGAAAAGCGCTTTGGGATCCTTAGGGACTAGTCAAGTGCTATACAGGCCATTTACCATATTTCCAGTGTTCTTTTATCCAGTTTTGATGAGCACCCATGTGGTTTTCTGCTGCTGCTAATATTTGACATCAACAAGGCGACTGTGAATCAATGCCACAAATAACTTGCAAACTGTATCTCTGTGCTGTATCTATCTTTGACACTTTTATTAGTGTGGCGAGGTGTGGTTTGTGGCACAGCAGCAGGGGAGGGGTGGAGCAGTGGGTTCAGGGTTTGGTGTCAGTGGAAGACCAACACAGCTGATTTCCATCGTATAATCACGCCTTCCCTATTAGAGTTAGATGCCAGGACCTGACGGGAGAGCTGCGTGTGCTGCACTGGAGATAGACAGCTGTAAAGATGCCCAACCGGAGTCACTGGAAAAATTATAAATAAACATTCAATTACCTGCAAAGCTACGTGCCGTAGAAAATATTTACTTGTGTTAGTTCTCGTTGTTTGTTACCTTTGTATTCCAGTGACAAACAACACAGACATTTAGGCAAGTCTAAACAGTTTGTTCTACATCGTGTTTGTGTTCTAAGAAAAGAAGCGAATTCTTTTTTCATAATGAAGAACATGTTTTATTTACTCGACTAAAGAAAACACATGTATTTCCTCTCTAGGTGAATTTGTTGTGTCCTGTTTGGTAGATGGTAAACAAAGATGTTGTAGCGAATGTGAAGATAACGCATGAGAAATGACTGGAAATAGCGTTTAGTGTAAACGTTCTGTTCCTCTATCTAATCAGTACCAATCTGAAACCCATTTTCCCCTTTAACACATTCTAGTACAGAGCATAAACATTACATATCTTATAAATTAAATCTACAGTAATCCACCCTTTATTCCAGATTTAATCAAAAGACTCATTATGTCAACAAGATAATCAAAGCAAATATGTCATCATTGCAGAACAATCATTCTGTGCTGGTATGTAGGTGGCTTTGCATGCACAGCTTCACTCTGTGTTATTTCTTCTCCCAGTTTCTCCATACACGTTACATCAATTAGATTCTCTTAGGCTTTCTTCTTCTCTGACAAGCATTTCCTCTCAGTCTCCTTCTCCCCGTGCTCCTCCTCTCTTTGTGTTCCCTCTCCAAATGCAGAGCTGCTCCTAAACCTTCCTGTTCTCCTCCTGCAGAGTATTCTGTTTATTCGACAGGGAGGTGGCCAAGATAGTTCTTTGCTCGATCATTTCCCTCTGAATTTTGTTCATTTTTGCAAGCCCACTTTCACGTTGGAAGACTGCATTTGAATCAGAATTGTGTTATTTGATCGGTTTTTTGCTCTCAAAATTGCGCTCGCTCGCAAAAATTCAACCTGCCTGGGTCAGTTTCCTTGACATGATGAACCCTACTGAAAAACATGTAGCAAACACACCAAGGGGTAAATCGGATAATGCCACATCAGGTTAAATCTATGTGGATGGATCAGACTGTATCATGCTTGACAACTGACAGAGAGCACTGGTTTCCTTTAACCTCATAACCACCAGTTTTTCCCTGACCTCACATTTGATGTTGTAGTCGTGTAAAAGAGGTTCAATACACTGTGAATCCTAATTTACTGATGTTATCCTTTCCTTGGAAATATCAGAACAAAGAGCTTTTCTTTGCTGTAGGTTATGAACTGATGATGTAGTTTGACATTTAATTCGAAGGACTTGTTGACTAGAAAGCTTGCGTTAGAAATCATAAAAGCATGGCAGTTGAAATTTTGGGGCATTTGTATTCATTTCTCATGGTGAATTGGGGACTGAAATTTAGAATATTGTATATGAGGCTCTGTTTTACTTACTTTTAAAAAAATCTGTGACTTGTGAGTGTCTCAGCTTTAGGGGGGCACATCACCAAATTACAGGAGTGCTCCTTTAAGACGAGTTACGCTCCCCATGGTCTATTTACTCGTACTGTCTTTCCAGCTCTGAGTGGGTTTTCTTGTTCAGACGAAAAATCCAGGAAAATGTGTCTGTTGCCATCTTAGTCCTTTGTATTTTGTGCCAAGGCCTCTTTCTATTTAAGAGGCCTCTTTCACTGCTGTTCTTTGTTAAATGAAGCTCTCAGCATTCAGGACTTCTTTTGATTTTGTGTGTTCTAGCAAAGAGATTTTAATACTGTGTGAGAGATTCTGGCCAGCTTTATTAATTTGCACTCAAGAGTTTTTTGTTTTTTTTTTACAATAAATATACCATCCAGTTACCAACAGTTTTTTTTCTAACTAGGGAGAGAGAATTACTTACATAAACAATGTTGTAAGAGAGAGATGAAGATTTCTGAACTGGAATTTAAGAGCAAATTCCAAAACAGCACGTTGTGGTAGGACTGTATCTTCCATGGGATACAAAGCTCTTTAAACTTTACTTCAGGGCAAAGTTTTTATGTGGCATTCGCTCACATTTGTCTGTTTTTTCCATAGGTGCTCTGAAATGAAATAAATCCTTCAAAACTACTGCCCAAATAAGTGCCGAGAGGCGTTTTTAAGATGCCTGACAACTGTCTAGTCTTTCTTCTAGAAAAAAAATAATATTTTTAATCATTCTTTGGTGTCAAATTGAAGAAATCCAACATGTGAATTTCATTGGTCATTTGTTCTTATCATTTTCTTAAATGTAGAGGTTTTTACTACCCACTTTATTAGATACACTAGTTCAGCTCCTGACTCTCGTGACAGTAACACCATGCATTTAGGTATGAAGACATGATCAAGACGACCTCCTGAAGTTCAAACCGAGTATTAGAATTGGGAAGAAAGGTTATTTGAGTGACTTTGAATGGGGCATAGTTGATGGTCTGATCTACTGGGATTTCCCCACACAACCATCTCTAAGGTTCACAAAGAATAGTCCGAAAAAGAGAAAATATGTTGTTCTCTGGATGAAAGCGAGAATGGCACGACTACTTCAACCTTATAGAAAGGCA